GTGAGATCTAGAGCTAGATACGTACGATAGATAAGATGGTCAAGGCCAGCTAGATACAGCATGATACAGCCCAGCTATGTGATAACTGCGTGTCTCCCTTCGCTGCTGCATTACCGTATTACAACATCGCGTGTTTGTGTATCAACCCAGTGAAAGCACATCTATCTCCCCTCGTCTGTATTTCGTAATTTTGGTACATTTCCACGCAGTGCCTGAATGAATATATATATCTCTTTTCATCCGAGTTTTCGATTGCTACAGGAGCGAATGCGAAAGAAGCACAAACGTGCAACAGCCAGCAATCGATAGATGTATAGTTAGCTGCGGCTCTATTCTGTTACTAGACAGAATCCGATTCGTAATAACCGTGGAGTAACCATTCAGAATGATTACTCCAAGTAATAACTAACTGGCTGCATAATAAAGATATGGACTACACCTCATATAACTTTCACCGTGATGTATCTCGGTGCCGGTGTTGCGTTTGACAAATTTTGTATGTTATTTGCTACAGGAGTGATTTTAAAAGACAACAAATGTTATTTTTGTTTGTTCGTACATTTCTGTTGCGGGGTTCAGTAATATTTTCAGTTAGTCATTTTTTGGTTATTTATTTTACGTAGCATTATTAATATTTATATTAATAGCAATGAGAAATAAATGGAAACCTACATTTAATACTTGCGTGTCTTTGTCAGTGCGGATCCTATTGTAATTAATGAAAGGCAATATTTGAAATCTACATTAGAGTTGTCTTAAAATGTGAACAGATAAACGTGTCACCAAATCAGTGTAGTTTTTAGTCACTCCATCGTCCAAGGTTTTGTTTTTATTCAATCCTGATACGAATATTTAACGACAAAAACCACTTCATGTTCTTTCCCAAAATCTCGAATACGATTCGCGCGTGACTCAATTGAATCTTGCTATCGAATCAGCTGGGCATAACAATGAGGTCTTTCCAGTTTTGCAACAATTTATTCAAGCTTTGCCAATTTGCTTTAGGGATGAAATAAGATAAGATAAGCGCATGCGTATTAGTGATCAGACTAAGTCTCTCTATAGAAGCCACGCCCAAACAGGTTGACGCCGGTAACAGGCAAAGGGTGCACAGTCTGGCACACTGGCAATGTGATATAGCATGTGGTCGGATGAGTTATGGTGTGTTGATTGATATTCGATATCTTCCAGGTTACTAAATTTCCGTGTGTGCTATAACCCAGTGGTGCGTGGGAGTAGCTCCATGTGACTCGCGCGACTTTGTAGAAAAATCGTCGTATATTGAATCGCATTAACTAGCACCCTGTAGTAGTGACGCTGATAGGGTCTATGTCTCCTGGGTACTGCCGGACACTGCGGCTACTGTTGTTAGTAACACCCATCAGTAATATCAACAATCCTCAATCAACAAACAATAATGTCAGCAACAATAACAGCAGTTAGTGGCAACATTAGTAGCAGCAACAACAACAGCAGCAGCAGCAGCAGTGTCTGGCAGTACCCAGGGAGACATAGACCTTATGAGCAGTAGGGACACATTGAGCATCGCCGCTGCAGCAGCAGCAGCAGCAGCAGCAGCAGCACTCGGCAAATGTCTTTTGTATGCCGCATTTTTAAAAGTAAAAGTAACGCGTTGCGAGTATTGATCGACGCGAGACGCAAGCAAGCAAGGGCTCGGCTGTTGTTGCGTTGTGCTGTTAGTACACGCTGCGTGCGTGCTGACCTAGCTGAGTGAGTGAGGGAGTGAGTGGTCTCCTGTGGTCTGTCACAGTTAGCGGCTTCTGGCTGTGTCGCGTGCTTCGAGCTAGGCTACGTCAAGGAGCTAAATATAACAAGGAGAGGCAGCGCCGCCATATCTGGCCCAACTTTGGGTTCGACAGAGACCCTAGAACAGATTAGTGTTCTGTTGTCTCTGGGTTCGGTCTGCACAGCCGTTTCACCTGATTAATGGTCCATAGATGGCGGCGCCCTTGAGGCGAACAGCATAGAGTCCCTTTATATAGACATATAGTCAATATAAAGGGACTCTAGAACAGCACACAGCCAATCCGCTTCCTCTCCTTGTTATATTTAGCTCCTTGGGTTACGTGACTAGAAGTAGGAATGTCGGTTGCTTCAGCGAAAGATACAACGTGGCGTCATCATTCATTATGCTTCATTCATCATTCATTCATTCATTCATCATCATTCATTCATCATTAGGCTATCATGCGGCAAAGCCAGCTGTGCGTTAATGCTTGTACGACTGTTGTCCAACGTTGATGACGTCGCTTTTAGGACTGTTGATAGTAGCAGTGATACCAGTATTGTCACAAACTGCATGCAGTGCACCTTCGTACACTCAGGACTCAGACTCAGGATACAGTAGATTGAGCCCATGAGCGAGAGCGCCATCTGTCGTGGAGTTTGGTATTGTCATAATGTCATTGTGTGATAGAACTTACTGTTGATAGCAGCAGTTATACCATAGGCGTGTAGAAGATTTGTTAGTGGTGGTATTGTCATGATCTGATAGAACTGACACTGATAGTTATAGTGGTACAGAAAGCTGGTAGGAGTGTTTTAGGTAACAGTGTTGTCATGATGTGATAGAA